TTTTGCATTTTTAGTAGAGACGGAGTTTTGCCATGTTGGCCAGGCTGGGCTCGAACTCCTGGCCTGAGGCAGTCCCCTGCCTCCGCCTCCTGAGTAACTGGGATTACAGGCGCGAGCCACTGTATCCAGCCTCCCAAATTTTCTAAAGTAGTTTTGCCAGTTTATACTCCTGCCAGCCGTATGTAAGAGTTCTCTTTGTGCCGTATTCCCAGTGACACTTGATTTGAATCAGCCTTCCTGTTTTTTGCCAGTGCAGAAGGTGTAAAATGGTATCTGCTTGAAGCCTTAATTTACGTTTCATTAATGTCTGAGGTTGGACATATTCTTATGCATGTGTTCTTTACTTGTCATCTGTGAAATGCCATCTCCCATCTCTACCCACTGTGCCAACAGATAATACAGGTATTACTCCATTATAGTGGTAGTTGAATAAAGGGACTAAAAGGAAGAGTGTTTTGGCGTTCAGTATGCAACTTGATAAGTGGCAGTAGTTTATTTGCCTAGACTGGCTAACATCGTTTATTTGAAAAACACATTTTGAGTTTTCTATGATATATATAACATTTTGCTAGGTGCTCCTTGGGAATACAGAGAGCTATAAAATTAGTGTCTTCTTTTTTTTATGTTAGACGGAGTCTTGCTCTGTTGCCCAGCTTGGAGTGCAGTGACGTGATCTCAGCTCACTGCAACCTCCGCCTCCTGGAGTCAAGCGGTTCTACCTCAGCCTCCCGCGTAGCTGGGATTACAGGCGAGCGCCACCACGCCTGCCTAGTTTTTGTTTTTTTTGTAGAGACGAGGTTTCGCCGTGCTGGCTGGGCTGGTCTCGAACTCTTGACCTCGTGATCCACCCGCCTCAGCCTCCCCAAGTGCTGGGATTACAGGCATGAGCCACCGCGCCTGGCCTCTTTTTTAAATTTTTATTTTTATATTTTATTTTCTTATCCTCTCTCAAAAATTGGTGTCTTCTCACAAAGAGTAGAGTTCAGTATAGGAAATATGATACATCATAGTAGCTAATAATAGAGGCATAACTTATAAATAGTAGAGCTAATAACCAGGTCATAATCTGGTTAATGAGTGTTTGCTAACTGTGTAATGCATATACTACAAAAAGTTACCATTATAGACATCATAATCTCTAAAGATGTAAGAACAGAACCACTGTCAATTTGCATTCAATTCTGTTCCGTAGTTGTACAATTAAATTTACTTCATTTAATTGTAAATTTAAATAAGGTTCATATGTCATCTACAAAGCAAAAAAGTACAAGGATTTTTTTTAGTGATCTTACTATGAGCAGGTGTGGTTCATTCTTCATAAGCTGGTGATTTTATATAATTTACAGAGTTCTAAAAGCAAATATCCAAAAATGTATATTCAGAGAAATCTAGGTTTTAACTTAGTCCCATCTCTCCCAAAGTAACTATTTTTTAAAATTATGGTTCCTCTGCCAGCCCCATCCCCAACCCACGCGGTAACTATGGATGGTGATGGATGTCTTCATTTTGATTGTGATAATTATTGCACAGTATATACGTATATCAAATCATCATGTTGAATATATGCAATTTTTTTTCGATTATATACCTCAGTAAAGCTGGGAAAAAATTATGGTTCTTCCATTTAAAAAAAATAGAAATAAGTACACCCACGTGTGTGTGTGGATGTGTGTGGATGTGTGTGTGTGTGTGGATGTGTGTGTGTGTATTGGTATACCTTCTTCCCCCCCATCTCGCTTTGGTAAATGATAGCTTCCCATATATTGTTTTCCTTCCAACTGATTTTCACTTCATATATCCTGGAGATTACTCCATGGCAATATATAGAGCGATTTTCTCATTTGTTTTTATAGCTTCAAAATACTTGAGTGTAGAATGTTCTGTAGTTAGTTGAGCCATTCCCCTATTTATGGCCGTTTGAGTTGCTTCCAGTCTTTTGCTGTTACTGATAATGCTACAATAACAGCCTAGTGCATGTGTCTTTTCGTATTTTTGCAAATATATCCTTTGGATAGGGTTTTAGAAATGGGATATATGGGTCAAAAGGTATATATATAGTCGGTACTCCTAAACAATGTGTTACACCGCTTTCCTATGACATGAAAATTGTGGATTGTTAGACCTATCCTCACAGAATTTTAGGAGGAAAAAATCAATATAATGCCCTGACTACAATAGAAAAAAAGAAAAGGCAAACAATTTATAATGAAATACATGTCTTTATTTGTAAATACTTGATCACAACTATACTAAAAACCATTATGCAGTGACCAGAGACTTGTGTCTATACATAGGGGTGACCACAGTACGGTCTCATCATATGGACTCTGCCATTGGTGACTCAACCAGCATGAGCGCAGTATGCCTAGTAACATGATTTCCGAAATTGTGAATAAACTTCTTGGTAAAGTCTGAGCAAAAGTACAAGCTCCTCTTGGTTTACATAGTGGTTGCATATCTGGAAAATTCAGTGTATGCTAAAACTGGAAAAATATTTTCATATGTGAAATAGAATTGTGTCCTCAGTTCAGATCATTATAAGTTTTAAAACGATAAATCAACACGTGGTGGGACACGAGGAGCTGTGCGCACATTGCAGAACATCAGATACCTGTGACCTCTGCTCATTAAATGCCAGCAGAACTGCTTTTCATTCCTAATCATGTTTATTTTTTACACTCTTTGTTTTGATTCCTTTTGCCAGAGATATTTTACTAGTTTTGCCCAAGACACTATTTTTAGCTTTATTGATATTCTTAGTTGTATATTAGTCTTATATTCAGTAATTTCTGCTTTTATCTTGATTATTTCCTTCCTACATTCTTTGGATTTATTTTACTGTTTTTTTGGACTTCTTAGGTTGGATGCTTCACTTGTTAATTTTTAGTTCTCCTTTATTTTATTTACTTATTTATTTAATTTATTTTTTTGAAACAAAGTCTCACTCTGTTGCCAAGGCTGGAGTGCAGTGGCGACCGCAGCCTCCTGGCTGAAGTGATCTCCTGCCTCAGCCTCCCGAGTAGCTGGGATTACAGGTGCAAGCCTCCACGGCCAGCTCATTCTTTGTTTTTATTTATTTTTTCTTTTGAGACAGAGTCTTGCTCTGTGCCTCAGGCTGGAGTGCGGGGTGCGATCTCGGCTCACTGCAACCTCCTCATGGTTTCAAGCAATTCTCCTGCCTCAGCCTCCCGAGTAGCTGGGATTACAGGCGTGTGTCATCACGCCCGGCTGATTTTTGTATTTTTAGTAGAGACGGGGTTTTACCATGTCGCCCAGGATGGTCTTGAACTCCTGACCTCAAGTGATCAGCTTCCTTGGCCTCGCAAAGTGTTGGGATTACAGGCATGAGCCATCGCACCTGGGCTTTTTTTTTTTTTTTTTTTTTTTTTTCAGGGTCTTGCTATGTTACCCAGGCTGGAAGTTCTCCTTTTTTGATGTAAACATTCAGAGCTAGCTGGGCACTGTAGTGCACACCTGTAATCCCAGCAATCTGGGGGCCGAGGAGGGTGGATCACTTGAGCCCAGGAGTTCAAGACCAGCCTGGGCAATATAGGGAGACCCTTTCTCTACAGAAAATACAAAAATTAGCTGGGCATGGTGGCGCACGTCTGTGGTGCCAGCCACTCGGAGGCTGAGGTGGGGGGATCACCTGAGCCCAGGAGGTTGCTGCAGTGAGCCATGATTGCACCACTGCACTCCTGCTTGGGTGACAATGAGTCTCAAAAAATATATAAATAAAAAATAAAAATTCAGAGCTGTAAGGGCCTCATATCCTAGCATAGTTTTTTGTTGTGCTGGTGGTGAAATATGCGTAACATAAAATGTTTTATTTAACCATTTTTAGGTGTACAGTTTGGTGACATTAAGTATATTCAGGGTTGTACAGCCGTCACCACTGTCCTTTTCCAGAGCATTTTCATTATCCCCAGCAGAAATTCCGCATCCTGGCCAGGCGCGGTGGCTCACGCCTGTAATCCCAGCACTTTGGGAGGCTGAGGTGGGTGGATCACAAGGTCAGGAGATGGAGACCATCCTGGCTAACACAGTGAAACCCCGTCTCTACTAAAAATACAAAAAAATTAGCTGGGCGTGGTGGCGGCGCCTGTAGTCCCAGCTACTCAGGAGGCTGAGGCAGGAGAATCGCTTGAACCTGGGAGGCGGAGCTTGCAGTGAGCCAAGATAGCGCCACTGCACTCCAGCCTGGGCGACAGAGCGAGACGCCGTCTCAAAAAAAAAAAAGAGAAAAAAGATGAAGAAGAAATTCCTCATCCATGAAGCTGTAACTACGCATGTTGCACTTTCCCCAGTCTCTAGTGACGTTTAATCTACTTCCTATGAATTTGACTACTGTAAGGTATCTCATTTGAGTGAAATTAATACAGTATTTGTTAGGCTGGACATGGCAGCTCACACCTGTCATTCCAGCACTTTGAGAGTCCACAGTGGGAGGATAGCTTGAGCTCAGGAATTCAAGACCAGCCTGAGCAACATCGTGAGACCTTGTCTCTGCTAAAAAGTTTAAAAGTTAGCCGGGGATGGTGGTATGCACCTATAGTTCCAGCTACTTGGGAGGCTGAGGTGGGAGGGTCGCTGGAGCCCAGGAGGTTTAGACTGCAGTGAGCTGTGATCATGCCGTTGTAATCCAGCCTGGGTGACAGTGAGACCCTATCTCAATTAAAAATACATATATACAGTATTTGTCCTTTTGTGTTTGGCTTATTTTACTTAGCATATTATTTTCAGGGTTCACTCTTTTTTTTTTTTTTTTTTTTTGAGACGGAGTCTTGCTCTGTCGCCCAGGCTGGAGTGCAGTGGCCGGATCTCAGCTCACTGCAAGCTCCGCCTCCCGGGTTTACGCCATTCTCCTGCCTCAGCCTCCCGAGTAGCTGGGACTACAGGCACCCGCCACTTCGCCCGGCTAGTTTTTTGTATTTTTTAGTGGAGACGGGGTTTCACCGTGTTAGCCAGGATGGTCTCGATCTCCTGACCTCGTGATCCACCCATCTCGGCCTCCCAAAGTGCTGGGATTACAGGCTTGAACCACCGCGCCCGGCCAGGGTTCACTCTTATTAATAGTATACATCAGAATTTCTCCGTGAGCCAGGCATGGTGGCATGTACCTGTCGTCTCAGTACAGCTACCTGGGAGGACCAGGCGGGAGGACTGCTTGAGTTCAGGAGCTGAAGGGCTGCGGTGCTGTGCTCCGATCATGTCTGTGAGTAGCCACTGTGCTCCAGCCTGGGCAACACAGCAAGACCTCATCTCTTAAAGAAGTTTTTGTGTGTATATATACCACATTTTGTTTATTCAATCCTGCAAGTTTTTTATATATAGTATTTTTTATTTTATTTTATTTTATTTTATTTATTTTAAAGACAGAGTCCTGGTCTGTCTCCTACACTGGAGTGCAGTGGCACCATCTCGGCTCACTGCGACCTCCACCTCCTGGGTTCAAGCAATTCTCCTGCCTTGGCCTCCCAAGTAGCTGGGATTACAGGTGTGCGCCACCACGCCTGGCTAATTTTTGTATTTTTGGTAGAGACGGTGTTTCTCCATGTTGGTCAGGCTGGTCTGAAACTCCTGACCTCAGATGATCCGCCCACTTCAGCCTCCCAAAGTGCTGGGATTACAGGCGTGAGTTACTGCGTCCGGTCTCCTCTTTCATATTTTCTATCTCATTGTCTGCAATTAGTTCATTGTTCATCAGTTCTCTCTAACACTATGTCTGCGCTGCTTTTTACTTCAAATGCTGAGTTTTGGCTTTCACTTATTTTTTCTTATTGGTGAGAAAGAACTTACCAATAAGTTCACCATACAGACTTATTGAAAGTTCTGTATGGTGTTTTCATATTTGCTCTATTCTGCTTTTATTTTCAGGCTGCTTCTATGTGTTCTGTGACACGTCATTCCATATCTGTGTTTTTCAGAGATTTTTCCTCCTCTTGCCATCACCATTTTCAAAATGCCTAAGGTTTTCTTGTTCCTTTCTGTCCAGAGGGATTTATTCCTGATTGGTCGTTATGTGCATTATAGCCTTTTTCAGGCCTAGCCTTAGGTGGGAGGGGAGTCCTGTTAATTTTTCAACCTTAGGCAGTCTGGGTTTTACTACCTGTCCCCTGTGGCAGCCATCAAAGTGGAAGCATGAGGTCCCCGGGGTTTAGTAGAAATCCCTCGAGAATAACTAGATTAGTAAATTGCTTACTCTTTTTGAGTTCCTGGTTTCACTTTGGTTTGGAGCTCTGTGGAATCATCTCTCTTTTTACTAGCCCATCCATGCATTTAAAAAGATTTGATATGTTATCCAGTCCTTTATTTTAGAGTTTGAAGCGACGTTTTATTTTCCTTCTTTTTTACCAGCCCCAGCTTGTGTTTTCTACATCTCTTTTCTCCCTTTTCCTCTTTTGTTTCTGGCTTTGCTACTAGTGGGACTGATGTTATGGCCATTGTCACCACATGAGAACACCCTTTTCCTTCTGAGTTGTGAACCTTCTATTTAGAAGTGTGTGTTGTCATCTTCAGGTGATTTGGAAATCTTTTCATTCATGCTCTTGCTTTCAAAGGCATTTGAGGCTCTTGTTTTTTTGACTGGGGGAGGGAGGGACCACTGGTGTTGGGGCTCTTGCAGCGTCTTGAGAGATTGTTGAATGTCTGGGTAATTAATTAGTGCTGCGTTACTGCATTCATAATGTACTGAAAAATTAAGACTCACTTGCTATTTATATGAAAAGTAAATAAAAATGTATAGCGAAATTGTGCTTTTAAAATCATTGTGTTTTTCAATAGTATATGGTTTACACTTGGAGTACTATAGTTGATCCCAGCAGGTAATATTAAGTTTAGTAATCTCCACTCTGGGCTGACCGGTTCCAGATACCACTCCGCTGTTGGGTTCTGCTGTATGTTTAGCTACCCCTAGTCTCCTTCAGCAGACAATTGAGGAGTTGTTTGTGTTTGAGCCGTGTCACAGTTAAACAATGGGCCTCTCAGAAGAGTGCAGTGTGTTTGGGGCACACTTTTTGTTTCGCCTACTTGTTTTTCACTGAAAAGTAGCAAAAAGTGTTTGAACAGATTTAGAGAGAAGCACTAGTTACTGTTTGCTCTTTTTTTAATAAAACATTTTTGACTAATGGTTGAGCAAAACATAAGGTAAATCAGTGTTTCACCATGAATTATTTTTATACCTAATACTATTTTTGGCTAACATATAAGATGAACATAAAGAACCTTACCACAGTCTCATTTGGTACTTTTCAGGCATTTGACACTGTCAGAAGCAGCAATTCACACACAAAAAGTACTGTTTTTTGGAAAAGATAACTGAAGGTCATGAATCAGATGTGAGGGGAAAAGTATAAACCTTTCTAAATATATTTTTGTTAATATGGGGTACTTTATGTTGTCTAGTGCTGTTTGATTAAGAAAACAAGTTCAGGCCGGGCACAGTGGCTCACGCCTGTAATCCCAACACTTTGGGAGGCCGAGGTGGGTGAATCACCTGAGGTCAGGAGTTTGAGACGAGCCTGACCAATATAGTAAAACCCCATCTCTACTCAAAAATAGAAAAATTCGCCAGATGTGGTGGTGTCTGCCTCCCAGCTATTTGGGAGGCTGAGACAGAAGAATTTCTTGAATCCAGGAGGCAGAGGTTGCAGTGAGCCAAGATGATGCCACTGCACTCCAGCCTAGGTGACATTGAGACTCCATCTCAAAAAAAAAAAAGAAAAAAAAAGAAAAAGAAAACATTCAATTAGCTGGGTGTGGTAGTGCACGCCTCTAATCCCAGCTACTTGGGAGGCTGAGGCAGGAGAATCCGGGAGGTGGAGGTTACAGTGAGCCAAGATCGCGCCGCTGCACTCCAGCCTGGGGGACAGAGCGAGACTCCATCTCAAAAAAAAAAAAAAAGGCAAATTCAAGAATAGTATTTCATCTGTGGATAAAGTATGGTACCATAAATCAGCAAACATTGCTTGATACATGCACAGTACTTGCCTTTGAATTGCTTGAGGTCTTAGGTAGGAAAAGCAGATAAAATAACTAAGGGTTTATAGTTGTAATTGGTCGCGGAAGAATGGCCCAGTGTATTAGCATACAGTAAGAAAAAAGAGCATGAGATTAAGAGTTGTTAGGAAACTTGAGTTCTGGTCTTAGTTCTGTTAGTAATTAGATTGATGTGCCTTTAGGCTAACCACTTACTTTTTTGGAAAGTTGGTTTTTTTCCACATATAAAACAAGGCAAATGGACTAGATGACTTAATCCTTCACAATCTTAATACCGTCCGAATTTGTTTTCCCGTGTAACTCGAGTTTAGAGGATGTGAAGGATCTTTTTGGGCAAGGAATGACCTTAGGAAGGAAATCATTTTCACTAAGCCTTGAAAGATTTGGTTGGGTAGATAAAAGGAAAAAGAAAAGCTAAGAATGCAGAAATCGATACATAAAAATTACTTAGGCCAGGAAAGTCTTTGGTGTATTTGAGGAATATGAGGCACAGGGTTGATGTGCATTCCATGAATGAGATTGACTCAGCAGTTTGGAGTTGAGTGGCCATAATGCCAGAGTTTAGTCCTCAGTCTGTAGGTTATGGGCAGCTAGTCAGGACGATGTGTAGCCAGGGAGAGCCATAGCACTTGTTACTTTTAGTCAACTTCTGCATGATAATTAAGGTATATTTAACCAATTCTGACTTCTTTCTCCCAACAAAAAACTGAACACAGAGGAACCCTCTAGGGAGCTAGTTATTAGGTGGTACAAAAGTAATTGCGGTTTTTGTCATTGCTTTCAATGGAAACTACTTACTTTTGCACCAACCTGATAGAATTTCTTCAACAACAATAGAGACTGAGAGAAATCCAGAGATGAAGTGGTAAGTCCTCAGCTAAGCAGGTGGCAGAGGCATCAGTGTTGTATCGAAGGGTTGTGCTTGTATTTACTAAGATCTAGTCACTCATGTGGTGTATTAGAATTGTTGCGGCATATTCGTCATCTTGAATAATTTCATTAGGGACATCTCTGACTCAAGTTTACTGTTAAATCTGGGATTTGTTTAGGCAAGTATTGCTTAAAGGGTAAGTCATGTTGGCCGGGCGCGGTGGCTCAAGCCTGTAATCCCAGCACTTTGGGAGGCCGAGACGGGCGGATCACGAGGTCAGGAGCTCGAGACCATCCTGGCGAACACGGTGAAACCCCGTCTCTACAAAAAAATACAAAAAACTAGCCGGGCGAGGTGGCGGGCGCCTGTAGTCCCAACTACTCGGGAGGCTGAGGCAGGAGAATGGCGTAAACCCGGGAGGCGGAGCTTGCAGTGAGCAGAGATCCAGCCACTGCACTCCAGCCTGGGCGACAGAGCAAAAGACTCCGTCTCAAAAAAAAAAAAAAAAAAGGGTAAGTCATGTTAATTGGAATTTCTTTGAGACAGCTCATTCAACATAATAGTGTATAGTCACTAAAAAGTTCTGAGAACGCAATGCTCTGGCTCCTGTTTCGTTCTACTAGACTGAATATGTGCAGAAAATTAAAAAGTTACTGCACAGTATACTAACATTGAGCAGTAGGAAAAAATAATCTTTTTTTTTTTGAGACGGAGTCTTGCTCTGTGGCCCAGGCTGGAGTGCAGTGGCGCAATCTTGGCTCACTGCAACCTCTACCTCCCGGGTTCAAGCAATTCTCCTCCCTCAGCCTTGTGAGTAGCTGGGACTACAGGCGCGCACCACCATGCCCAGCTAATTTTTGTGTTTTTAGTAGAGACGGGGTTTCACTGTGTTAGCCAGGATGGTCTCGATCTCTTGACCTTGTGATCTGCCTGCCTCAGCCTCCCAAAGTGCTGGGATTGCAGACGTGAGCCACCAAAGGATAACCAAAGTTTAAGGAAAGGCTGTGTTCTGAAGGTTGCTGTGTAATGTCATTTGCTTAGAATTTAGCATTGCTTCTCGTAAGAATGAAAGTGTCTCTCTGGCTAAGCCACGAAAGCCTACTCATCTTTCTGATACTGTAATGAAAAGCAATATAGTAAATACCATTGCACGTATTTGGATTTTTCAACACGTTAAGGATTGAGGAGGTTTTTGTACCCTAGCTTGGAAATCTAGCTGTTGCTTATTTGTTCTGTTAAAATATGTTCTATCGAGTATAAGATGAAATAAATATGAGTCTTCTGCCACCTCCATAAAGCATCAAAGCATTTGGGGTATGTAGGTGAAGTATAAAGATGGAGTACACTTTAAAGCAGCAGTTCTCAAAGTGTGGTCTGCAGTATCGTCGGGGAGTCTATGATGTCGAAACTTTTTTCAGAATATTCTTAACACATTATTTGCTTTCACACTGTGTTGACAAATGGATTGATGGGGTAAAAGCAGAAGTGGGTCAAATTGCTCGTTACTTTAACCCATACCAAGGCCATGGCCACGTGCTTGTGGTAAAGTACCAGCCTCACGTAATAACATACTTAATGGAACAATAAAGTTATTGATCAAGTATTCTATATAGCAAAATGGGAAGTCCTCATAAGGTACTTCTGCATACCAAAGTAGGAATCGTTGTCTTGGAGATAACCACTTTTGCGAGAGAGCTGAACTAGCCCTCTGTTTCATGGAACACCTTTTTTTATTTGAAAGAACAACTGACCCACAAATTCTGGTGGTTCAGACTTAGGTATTTTGCAGACATTTCCTCAAAAATAGTGACAGAATGTGTTGCTTCTGATATAATTTAGGCTTTTCAGCAAAAATTAGAGTTTTAGAAAACTTGTATCCGCTATGTTGATTTTAGCAGTTTCCCAGCACTTGAAAGACTTTTCTGATGAGATGGGTGGTGATATTAATGAATGTGATTTTATTTTTACTGCACAATGAAATGTGTCAACATTTGGAGTATCTTCAAAACCCAGGGAACAGTATTTTCCAGAAACCGACACATGACATCGTAAAACTTCTGCGTAGGTAACAGATTCATTCAGAATTCGAGAGAATCAACTGGCTTCGTGTAATAGAGTAAAAAGGATTCATTGCTGTGGTTTCGGATTCCACAGCTAACCTTTTAGGAAGGTCAGGTTTAGTGTCATACCGAAGAAGAAAATCTACAATTATGTGAAAGCTGTTAAAATGCTCCTGCCTTTTCGAAAAGGTGGTATCTGTGTGAGACCAGATGTTTTTCATCATCCTCAGCTAAAACAACGTAGCACAACAGATTGAATGCAGAAGCAGATCTATCATCTGGCTGTCTTCTACCACACCAGACATGAAAAAGACTGGCCAAAATGTCAAAGAATATCTGTCTTCTCACTCAACTTACTTTGTTTTGGGAAATAGTCATTTTTCATAAAAATGTATAACCTGTAATGGGTTTGTTGTTATTTTTAAATGAATTATTTAAACAACTTGGTTTTTTTGTTTGTTTGTTTTGCTTTGTATTTTTGAGACAGATTCTCACTGTGTCACCCAGGCCGGAGTGCAGTGGCGTGATCTCGACTCACTGCAACTTCCGCCTCCCAGCTTCAAGCGATTATCCTGTCTCAGCCGCCCAAGTAGCTGGGATTACAGACATGCGCCACCGTGCCCAGCTAATTTTTGTATTTTTAGTAGAGACGGGGTTTCACCATGTTGTCTAGGCTGGTCTCGAACTCCTGACCTCAAGTAGTCCCCGACCTCAGCCTCCCAGAGTGTTGGGATTACAGCGCAGGCCAAGGTGCCCAGCCAATAACTTGTTTCAATGTCTCATGCAGTAAATGTAGATAGATATAACCCTCATCAACAAAAACTCTTTGGACTCTTCATTAATGTTTAAGAATGTAAAGGGTATTGTGGCCAAAATGTTTTGAGAACGGCTACTTTGAAGGAGCTGAGTAGCTTTGATAGGCCTGTGTTGAGAGCAGATACTGATAAGGGGAATGCCTGACCTAACTTAAAACAAGTATGTGTTGGTCCTTCCCGCTAGGTTATGAACTCTTAGAGAAGACACAGGGTGTCTTTCATTTTCTCTAATGTCTAGCATAGAGTCTTGTAAGTAGTAATGATGATAACAATTGCAAAGGCTTTTTGTCTTTGTTAGATCATTTGATGTTTATTCTGTGAGTAGATATTAATTTGAGATATAATTTGTGCAGCCTAAAATTTACCATCTTATAAAGTGTACAATTGAGTGGTTTTAGTATATTCACAAGGCTGTGCGACCCTCTCCACTGTCTTCATACTGAACCTTTGCATCCCCCAGAGAAACTTCATACCCATTAGCAGCCACATCTCATTTCCCTCACTCCGTAGCAACCACTCGCTAATCAGCCGTGTTTATGAACTAAATTCCTTTCCATCTCTGTGATGCCCCTGTTCTGGACATTTCATGTGAAGTAGAATCCTACAATATGTGGCCTTTTATGGCTTTTTTCCACTTAGTGTTCAGGGGCCATCCATCTTGCAGCATGTATCAGTACTTCTTTTTGTGGCCAAACAATATTCCATCTTATGGACACACCACATTTTGGATATCCGTTCATCAGTTGATGGATATTTAGGTCTATCTTTTGGCTATTATGAATGCTTCTGTGAATTTTCATATAAAGTTTTTGCGTGAACATATATTTTCAGTTCTCTTGGCTGTATACCTGGGAGTGGAATTGCTGGGTCACATGGTAGCTCTGTATTTAATTTTTGAGGAACTTACTAACTCCCTTTTTAATAGAGTTTTTATTAGGGGATGATTTTAGATGTACAGACAGATTGCAAAGATAGTGCATCTCCTGTATACCTGTCACCCGGCTTCCTCTGATGTTAACATCTTACATAACCGTGATACGTATGTCAAAACAAAGAAGCCAGTATTGGTGCCTTACTGTTAACTAAATTCTAGGGTTTATTTGGATTCTACTAGTTGTTTCACCAGTGCCCCTTTTCTGTTCCAGGATCCAATCCAGGGTGTCATGTTGCATTTATGGTTCTGTCTCCTCTGATCTGTTACAGTATCTCAGTGTTGGTTTTCATGTCCTTGACGGTTTGGAGGAATGTAGTGGTCAGGAGTTTTGTAGCATATCCCTCAATTGGGGTTTGTCTGGTGTTTTCTCATGATTAGACTAGGGCTGTGGGTTTGCGGGAAGAACACCACAGAGGCGAAGTGTGTGCCCCATCACATTAGATGAGGGGATAAGTAATAGGGTCGCGACTTGTCGCTGGCGATGTCAGCTGTGGTCACTTGGGTAATAGGGCATGTTTGCCGGGTTTTTTCACTGCGCAGTTGTTTTTTGCTTGCCATACACTGTTCTTTGGAAACGAGTCACTAAGTTTTGCCTTCACTCAAGAGGAAACATGGATTAAGCTGAAACTCCTAGAGGGAGATGTATTTACCTATTTTATTTGCAATTCTCTGTAAGAAAGATTTGTTCCTTTTCTCCCATTTATTTACTTACTCATTTATTTATGTCAGGATGGAATAACATATTTATTTGATACTTTGGGTCATAATCAAATAGTATACTAATTTGCTCAAATCATCCCAGCATTGGCCTATGGAAAATCTTTCCTGTGTCCCTTTGGCATTTCTTCATCCTTTTAAAGTGCTCCCTTGCCTTCTGACACTACAGCGTGCTCTGGGCTCATCTTGCATTTTCCCTGTCCCATGCCTAGAGTCAGCCATTTCTTCAAGGAGTCGTAAGACTTGGTGAAGTGATTTGCCCAAGGTCACACACTAAGTCAGTGGTGGAAACAGGATTCCATCCAAAGCAGTCCTATTCTGGAACATATGCTGTTAACCACAGAACTGGATAACATGCAGCTGATTTATTATTATTATTATTATTATTATTGAAGGTGCATTGGCAGTTTCTACTCATGTTCCATCGATACGGGAGCCTTGAGAAGAGAATTCATAGTCCCTTTATTGTGCCATGTTTTTTGTTGTTGTTGTTTTTTGTTTTGTTTTGTTTTTGAGATAGTGGCTCACTCTGTTGCCCAGGCTGGAGTGCAGTGGCATGATCTCGGCTCTGCAACCTCTGCCTCCTGGGCTCAAGTGATTCCTCTGCCTCAGCCTCCCGAGTAGCCGGGACTACAGGCATGCGCCACCATACCTGACTAATTTTTGTGTTTTCCGTAGAGAAAGAGTTTCACCATGTCGCCCAAACTGGTCTCGAACTCCTGACCTCAAGCGATCCGCCCACCTTGGCCTCCCAAAGTGTGGCGTGAGCCGCTGTGCCCAGCTGCAGTGTTGTTACTAAGCTTTGTCTTTCTTCTGTCTGTAGCAAGATAAGTCCCCTCTTGGAATGCACACTGGTAGTAGCCCATACTTAGTATGTAGTAGCAGCTACATCCTGCTTGCATCCCACCCCAAAATCAAAATAAATCCGCATGATGTCATGA